AGAAAATACTCGCACGAACTTCCTTTATCGAGTGCATCTGTATTTATTGGACATCATGGAGACGCCATGACGACCATTGGGGCATTGCTTGCGTCGTCCGGAATAAGTCACGCAGTTGTGCTCAAAAACCAAACGCCAAACTGTTGCTACGGCAGCAAAGGACGGAAACAAAAGCGAACTTTTTCCACAATCCGACTCGCAATATACTCTATATACAAGCACAGTACACCAACAAGGCAGGGGGTCAGTGTCGACTTCATGTGAGCGTGTGCGTGTCAAAGTCGACTTTGACCATGGGAACAAGTATCATGACTCGCGAGGACTGGGATTCCGGAAACTAGACACCGGAAGGAAAGACGATTCTCGACCGGGTTTTTCCGGTTGAATCCGGATCATGGCGATCGACTTGAATAACGACCACGCCGCACAGAGAAAGAAGGCGAAAAGGAACGAGGAACCGGCGCCGTTTTGGAAACTGTGTCTCCGGTTCGCGTTCTCGCACGTGGGACTGTTCCTGCTTGTTGGGGCTTACGCCACCTTAGGTAAGCAAGAAATGGAAAACATTTTCAATCCAATAAATCAAGGCAAAATGAAAGAAGCTACAGATGGAATCCCCATCTATATACAACTAAATTCAACGAGTAAAAAATAATTGTTCAAGACAGAACGATTTTTTATCGTCTCAGAGAACCCCTATAACATACGGATAGAATCCTATGGGACCTAAAAAAATCGTTATACAGAGAATATTGTTGTAGTCTTGTAGACAAGATCGTTGTAGAGGGAGTCCACCAGTATAATCGTGCATCAATAACATGACGCAATTTTCATGTAATAAAATTTGAAGCATCGTGAAAAAAGTGGTTGATGATTTTACAATCAACTTCTTGATCAACGGACCAACTGACCAAAAGGTTGGACGGAAAAACCTTAATCTCTCCAATCTATCCTTTGTTTATCTTACGCAACAACATAATAAAATTGAGGTATCGTGAAAAAAGCGGTTGATGATTTTACAATCAACTTCTTGGTCACTTGACCAACTAACCAAAATGTTGGACGGAGAAATCTTCATCTTTCCAATTTATCCTTTCTGTTTATCTTACACGTTAACAATCGATTTCTGAACTCACCCCAATGCGCAGAAAATTTGTTTAGCAATCAAATCTAGCTACCAATTTTGATACGGTTATGTTCACTAAAAAAATGCGCCTCTCGGATAAAAAAAAAAGCATTCCAACATTGCTTCTGCTGGGCTTTCTAATCCAAACTTGGAAATATAGAATAGAATTTGCACAAATTGCATCCATGTCCAGCCAACACATTTCATGAACACATTCGTCTTCCGAATAAATCCCGAAGATTTTATTCAGAATCAAAAATGTAACCTGGAGCCTAAATTTTCCGCTGACATTGCTAGATTTTACCCAAAAGAAAACCGTTTTTTTATCAATCAACGACAAAAAACAGTATTCCTAGATAGGATTACAGATTATATTTTTTAATCCGATCAAAACACGAAAGAAATAAAATCTGACGCGTACTCAATCCGTGAATCTTCGCAATTGCAATTTTTTTCTTCCAAACACTCCAAATTAGTATTGGAGATTTCAGCTGTAAACTCTCAGCCTTGTTTTGTTCAATAAACTATATTACAGCATTCGAATGTTGAAACCAATTGGAAACATGTAGAGTACAGTATTTCCAACTACTGTACATCCAGAATCGACTTTGTCATTTAGCTGAATTTGGAAACTGGTTGAGTGATCGAAGTAAGACGATTATCCCTTTATCCTGCCACGCATTAGGTCATCTTCGAGTGAATGCTATACCGTTTATGCCAAGATATTTTTCGCCATCATAATTCCAACGGATCCCCCACGATTATACGAAACTTTTAATTAACTTCGTGTATTAATATAGGGGCTTATTTGTTCATTTCCTTGGAATTGCCTTTCGAGGAATATCGGTACGAAGTGAAGAAGGTCAAGGCTCAGGATGTGGACGATTCCATCAGATTCCTCGCTGATCACTTTGAATATTTCAACAAGCAAAACTTGACTTCGCCTGAATGGAAGACCAAAGTATGATGCACAGTTTCTTGTTGATGCATTTCGATTATCAAAATTCCGATTTAAATGCGATTCCGTGTTACTTAATGGGAACAACAGCAGCAACATATTCAATTTGCTGACAAGTGAATTTTGTCGGAAATTTAATCGTGAAAGCTATATTCAATCAAAATTATTATTTGCCACGCGGAAAATATAGCGACAGCTAATGACGTTTTCTCATCAAGGTCATCAATGATTTGACGAGGCTGAAGAAGTACATCGTGTCACTCGTCGACGAATATCAATACGACGGTGATGTCGAGGGCTGGACCTACTCGTGGACCTTTGGAAAGGCTTTGCTGTTCACCATATCCATCATGACCACCATTGGTACCGTACCACAATTTATACTGCATTAAATTTGTGCTTTTCATCAACACCCTCCACTCGAATCATGTACAGTACGCTCATCACCATACACCAGCTGCTTTTCCGAGTACCGTGCATAATTGCACACTACTGCCATCTAGACGCAGTCCATCTTTCTGATAAGCCCAATAGATGTGGCTGCTGTGCCTGTAACGCGCCAGCCAAGTTCCTTATCGTAGCTAGATGTCACTAGCAGCCACAATTTTTCTCAGTTTTAAAAAACGTAAGACGTCGAACATCGCGAAAGTTCCACCTGCTTCACTTTCAACAGTTGTGTAATGAAACATTCTTAACGCAATAACTTTCCCGTTGAAGTTGCATCAGCTGGAGACCAGGAATAATTTTCATATTTAAATCATCTTTCGAGGGTACAGTGCAAGTTTTCCCACACAGCTCCTACACTATAGTTATTTCTGGTGAAATGCACAGAGATGTGACTGGGCCACACAACTGGGCATGCTCTCTTCCATGTGTGATCTGATTAAAATTTTAACATATAATAAAATCTGACCAATGCCCAGGTGTGGCTGGGCACCCCCAGCTTGTTTTTAATAAACGTAAGACGTCGAACATCGCGAAAGTTCCACCTGCTTCACTTTCAACAGTTGTGTAATGAAACATTCTTCACGCAATAACTTTCCCGTTGAAGTTGCATCAGCTGGAGACCAGGAATAATTTTCATATTTAAATCATCTTTCGAGGGTACAGTGCAAGTTTTCCCACACAGCTCCTACACTATAGTTATTTCTGGTGCTGTTTTTAGAAGAAAAAAAAAAACCGCTCTCTGTCATTCTTCTCTGTTTTGACATATTTTCAGGATACGGACACATTGCTCCAGACACGTTCAATGGACAGATTTTCGTCATCATTTATGCCATCATCGGGGTACCGTTGATGTTGATGTTCCTCGCTAATATTGGTGACACGATGGCAACTTGGCTCAAATATACGTACAGGTAAAATCAATGTTTGACTGAATCAAAGTTGCGAAGGGTTCAAAACAAAATTTAAAGTTTTGACGATTGGCAAGTAATCATTTTGAAAAACACTGCCGGAGATGTTGGATCGCAGTAGCAGATCTTCAACAATAAGTTTTGCAAAAATGCACGCGAAGTTCGCGAGCACTTTATCCGCAAATATTGCGAAAATATGCGATATGTGCAAGCTTTTCAATTCTTCCAATAGCAAACAAAAATATTATCGAAAACAATAGAAGATTCTTCATTTAAACTTTTCGAGAAGATTGATTGATTTTTAAACAATATTAATGCTTCGGAACATGTACGCTGTCCTTTCCTTGCTCTCTTCTGTGGAATGAAACTTAAAAAAAATTTATTAAAACTTTATATCCATTACAGTCGTGGATGCTGTCGCTGGTGCAGATCAAGAAGGAAAGAATCAGAATTGCCACCCGGGATTCCAAAAAATTCCCGCGGGTATCGACTGATGGATGAAGAAGTCGGACCCGAAACCTACATGCCTACCGACGACGTGAGTTTGTACTCCAAATAATTTTGAAACTAAATTTATGTGGGTCAGAGAAAAAAGAAAAAAAAAAGCGGGGAAAATACAACTCCAGAACGAACTCATTTAGGACGCATTGAATGCGTAAACTATGTGGCCTTTTCATTCACACACAGCCATAAACAGGGTCTACAAAACCCAATACAGATTTTAAAATGAAAATATCCAGAACTATTCAAGCCACTATTTCGAAAAAAATTATGTTCAGTTAATTTTGCCATTTGAATGATTTTTTTTCGCAAAAAATAACAATGCACATTGAAGGCCCCCCTCAGAATTGTTCGCCGTTTATTGAAAATCTGTTTGAAAATTCAAGATGATATTGAAGAAGTTTTTGAAATGCAAATCACAAGAAAAGAAAATTTGTTATTCTCCACGAAATCAAGTGTCACTGAATTTCGAAACTAAAGTGTACTTGAGTCGGCATTTTGTAGGGTAGCATTTCTTTTTTTTTCAATAGCCAATTTTGACAGCAGAAAAATCCAGACGTATTCATATACGGTTCGTACGTGTCTATCTGTGTTAGATCACGGTTCCCATTGTGCTGAACTTGGTCATCCTGTCATTCTACATCGTCATGGGTGGACTGTTGTTCAGTTACTACGTCCCAACCTGCTAAAGTCTTAGACGGATAAAGTGCAAGCAGTGCTAGTCGTGGTAACCCAAGCCTCTGATACATGGTCCCTTTTCCAAGCACTTGTAACAATTTCATGAGCGGCGCTGGCCGTCTTTCATTTGACAACAGTCCCAAAACAATAAAGTCTATTGCAATTTTATGGCACAGGTACTTGTACAGTATCATTCCTTTATTACTCAACGCTTAGAGTTTTGGAGGAGCTGGCGTTAAGATCACGGTTCCTCAAAGCTTTAATGTTGAATTTAAAATCTTATGAATTTCGTACTTGTCTCTTGACATCAGTTGCATTTTTGCACGGATATTTCTCCTGAGCATAAATTATACAGTACCAAGTATTGAAGGGTCTACTTCCAAAATGGAGGTAAGACGCAAAAGTGTATAAAAATGCACACATCAATTCTTTCACAATGCAGTTCGAAGAATTGAACAGGTCTAAGATGATTATACCCCCCTTGAATGGGTTTTACACTTTTCTGTGTTTTAATCTTCTATTCGCACGAAATGAGAACGAAAATTCACAAATTAAAATGTAAGGTATTAATATTGTTTATGCATTTAAGGGGTGTCAGGGATTATTCTGCTGTGGAATCCTTCAGGAACAAAAATGACGAAATATTGCATGCAAACGAAATAATTAGGAGGAAAATGATGAAATTCCAAAGGTCTCATTTCCGAGTACAGTACATTATACGGTGTGCTTATTTTCACCATGAGGTTCACATTTCCCTCTTTCTCTCGTTGTTTATTCTAGAATTCAGGGATAATTATAGAAAAATGGAAGCCTTGAATTTTGATTTTTATGGAGGTAAATCAGTCGCGATCCTGTTTTCTCAATGCAAAAAAAAAATAGGTAGAATATTTCTCAAGACGGACAGTGAATCATGAGAGACGCTGCGAAATTATGCCCTTCCCAAGGTACTGCAAAGTAAACAGAATTGAAAAAGTTTTTCTTCGGGTGGTTTCTTTTCTACAGTTTCATGGGAACGCAAGAAGGTTTCGGATCATTTTTCAAAATGTTCATCACGGTCATGTACTGCGTCGTTGGTAATTACGAAACGGAAAAGAGAACAGAATCAACAAATCTTCCGACTCACTCATTTCGAATTTAACCACGAAACCCTGATTCCTCAGGTCTCGCCTTGGTCTCCATGGCAATTAACTTGATCCAAGATCAAGTGGTACAGAAGATGACTTGGGTAGCAAAGGAAGTCGGCATCAGTAATTCGGACGAACCGAGAATTCCCCTGAGTGAATTACGTCAACAACCGAGAACGCAGAATACCTTGATAATGGAGACTCCGAAGGATTTACTCGGAAAGGTGATGCATGACTCACGTTGCCATCTTTCATTTTTGTTGTTGTTGTTGTTGTTCTAGTGATTTTTAGACGCGTTTGCTCATTTATACAAATCAGAAAGAATTTTATTTTATTTTACGAGCATTAGATTGATCTCTGATAATGTCGCTTTACTCTTCAAAAAAGGGCAACGGGGACTTGAGACACAAGGACATTTAAAAAGTTTCTAAATCAATAAAATGATCCTCAAAAAATTTAAAAATCGATGATACACTTTAAAAAATCCAGGAAATGTGCTGAGGCATTCAAGTTCTGGTCGATGTGATAGTCACCAATTTCAACGCAAAAAAGTTCTATTTTCCGATTTTTAGGAAATCATCAGCAGATAATTCTTTTTATCGAGAAAAAAAAACCTCAACAGCTTGTTAGTGTCAAAGAAATTTGCGTTTTATATTTTAATGCTTTTTCTGCGTTTTTAAACATTCGTTTATGAGAGCAGAACTCAAAGTTTTGAGCATGCAAGAGCACAACTGTTCCACCGTCATCAATATTTTTAAATCTCTGGCACCAACATTTATTTTAAAAATATCTAGTCATTATAGAATACGTAGATCATTGAACCTTTAACTGAATTCCCAAAACCCTCAATGTTTAAGTTTTTATTCTGGCGTCTCCTGCATCATACCAACATTCCATAGATTTCGATCACGTAAAATTCGGTTCGGTTCAATTACTTTGCCTTTGTCTTCGTCCGATTAATGATTGCAGCGACATCTAACTGAAGATTCCGAAAACAATGAATGGGATTCTACAGTAGTAAAGATGCAAATAAATGCATTGCAGAAACAATCAAGTGAATCCAATTCATATTTTCAGGCGACTCAGCCACGAAGTGCATCCAAGAGAAGCGGAAAAGAAGGCGAGAGAAAGCCAAGCTCTCAGCAGCAGGAACAACAATCAGAGAACGCGAAAAAGGCTCGGAATGCGGAAAGTTCCGACGATTCGGATTCTTCAGATGAATCCCGACCAGGATCCGCTGCTTCTCAGATCACCAAGGCTTAGTCGCTTATCCATCAGAACATTTAGAGAAAAGCGGGAGAGCAGAGATAGGAAACAAACAAAAAATGCAGGAAAGAGCAGCATTGATACGACGACATCCAAGACACGTTGTTCTGCGTATCAGCAGAAACAAGTAGATTTATTTCGCGTTTCCGAAGCAAATTCCATTGATTTCTGAGTGCATGTACTGATGTGTGTGTGCGCGCGAGGGGCGACGTTCGAATGAAAGAGATCCTTTACTGCAGACAGGTGTTGGATTACTTTTCTTCAAGACCAAACGTTATTTGTTCGATGAGAAGACATTCGGTTCAGGGAGACCAACATTTCGTGGGATCTCAATCCGTGTTCCACAACCCCAAAGAAACCTCACGAATTTCACAAGGGGCTCTACGATGTTCAAGAAAATGACGAAGGGAACGTTGCATCGAGTTTAAGATGAAAAATCGAGGGCAATAAATAATTGTCCGCGTCCTTAATACAGTGTAACATCAAAAGACTCTCAATTGAATTTTTTAATGCAATTACTATTCAATTACGAGGCACAGGATAAGGTTCAGGGGCGCCTCCACACAATTTATTGTAACAGGGGCTCCGGCAAACAATTTAATTGCAAAAAGAGCTCTTTAAGTAAAAAAAATAATAATAGTAAAACAGACAATTCGCTCTTTTTTCTATTCTAACGGCATAAATCAACGAAGACTCTATCTGCGCTGAGAATTTTTATCGATTTATTTGCATAGGCATACAGTTCTCACCTTTCTCTAACTCAATTTTGGCCACGATGTAAACGGAGATAAGATGATTTGAAAAATCCAGTTTTTCTTTCAAATGAGTAAGAAAAAACTGCGGTTTTTATTTCCGACATGACGACACGCGAAACGGCATTCCACAAAAAAAAACCTTAATAATGAGTTCATATTGTGTTCGGAATCTTCCTGAAGTGTGACGAGCATAAATTCAACGATTCATTCCGCAGTATGTACAGCACTGACCACAAGCGAAGATAAGAGCACTTTTTCCATTCTCGACAAAAATTAAAACTCATAATTCCCGCGTTCACAACGTTTAGTCAATAAGTAAGCCGAAAATATCCGCAGCCACGCGAATGCAGGAAAACATCGAGTCCAAGATCACAAAAAGGTTCAGCCTCAAAAACGGAACAGAAAACATTTTCGAAGATGCTATATTTTTCGTTCCCAGATTTACCGAAACCTTTATTGCACATATGGTGGACTGAAATGAGCACTGATTTTAAAAATAAATCGTATATTCAAAGCTGAAACATAAAAGAATTACATCGACAAATACCGAATAATTTGGGGGTTTACAAACTCAATTAATTTGAAAACCGCGAGAAAATAAGTTTGCCAGTTACATCATTTTTCTTCGGTTGGTTCTCAGAATTTTCCGTCGTAGGCCTTGAATTAAAATCAACCTATCAATATTATCCCTGCTGGTAAAAAATATGCTCAATGAGTGGAAGAGATCTGAATACATTTTCGAGAGGGACACATTTTTTTTTTTTTACCATCGACCGAGCTAGGAATTTGCTTGCGAATGTTGGACGTCATGACCGTAGCCTAATAATAAATAAATAAATAAAATCGAAACTAATGCTATGACTTCCACGGCACTTTGTAAAATCAATTGCCGATCTTCCATATTTATTCCAATCTCTCAAACTTCATTTGAAAATAATCAGCTATGCATATCATCTGAAAGAGTCCACATTATTGCTTGGACTACCACAAAATCAGCAGTTCGCCTGCGAATCTAAGATGCCATCGACTCGAAAACGCATTCGTTTTTTTTCGGGGATTCAAATTAAAAGCAAAAATTAAAAAGTGTTTCGTATCCCATTAAATACACAGGGTATTAAAAAGCTATTTATTTGTTTGTTTGTTCGTTTGTTTGTTTTTTTCCTTCTTTTTCTACGCGCTTCGGAATCGACCTACTCAGCCCTTTTCCTCCGGATTTTTCCCGTCCACACTCCGACACTCCGTACACGTCCCAACATACTTGAGCACGTCAGCTCGGATCCCCGGCCAGAAAACCCCGGCACTGACCAGGTTCTTATACGTTCTCCCCAGGCCCGGGTGATGCCCCTCGGGCCGCTTACCTCCGATCCCGGTCCTCACATTATCATGGGCCGCGAACAAACACTGCCTGCGCGATTCCTCGTCAATGATGACTTTGGAGTAAATGTTGGTGCGTTCCTCGGGCACCAGGGTTGCGAGCGAGGGTACGCGGGGGGCCTCGACCTTGGCGGGTTTCGACCGCTTCTTTTGCCTTCGTTTGTAGTAAAGCACGCCTTCCGTGTCAACAACGAATTGATGGGCCGCGATCCGCAGGCCTCTCTTAAGGGAATCGTTGCCCCTGAAGTGGGCCGGGTAAGTGCCGTGCCGCTTGTAGTTTCGAATAAAAATCAGCTGTTGGACTCGTTTGGCGCTTGACACGACTCGGTCGCCAGATTTGGAAGAGGCCTGCGGAAATATACCAAGAAGAAGAAGAAGAAGAAGAAGAGAGAGAGAGAACTGGATTTTAAACAGCGACAGACTAAAGCAGGACTTTCCAACTTCTTCCTGGTTAGCAGGGTTTTTTGGTACCACGACAGTTTTAGCGTACCACCTCCTGAATACCAAGTCCAGCTTTTTTATTCCCCCAAGACGTGGCAGTGCTTCTGCCCAATCTCTTCTTTTTTATTGATCACATAACTCAAACGAAAAAAAAATCAGAAATTGGGTTCTAAATTTCCTCACAAAGCACAATCTACATTCAGACTTCCACAGACTGGTCACCAGATTTGGAAGAGGCCTGCGGAAATATACCAAGAAGAAGAAGAAGAGAGAGAACTGGATTTTAAACAGCGAAAGACTAAAGCAGGACTTTTCAATTTATTCGGCAGGGTTTTTTTGGTACAGTACCTTGACAGTTTTAGCGTACCACCTCCTGAATACCAAGTCGAGCCTTTTTTATTCCCCCAAGACATGGCAGTGCTTCTGCCCAATCTCTTTTTTTTGTATCACATAACTCAAACAAAAAAATCAGACCTTGGGTTCTAAATTTCCTCACGAAGCATAATCAACATCCAGATTTCCACAGACTGGTCACCAGTTTTGGTGGAGGCCTGCGGAAATATATCAAGAAGAAGAAGAAGAAGAAGAGAGAGGACTGGATTTTAAACAGCGGAAGACTAAAGCAGGACTTTTCAACTTCTTCCTGGTTAGCAGGGTTTTTTGGTACCACGACAGTTTTAGCGTACCACCTCCTGAATACCAAGTCGAGATTTTTTTTCCCCACGACGTGACAGTGCTTCTGCCCCATATACTTTTTGTATCACGTAACTCAAACGAAAAAAAAATCAGAAATTGTGTTCTAAATTTCCTCGCGAAGCATAATCTACATTCAGACTTCCACAGGCTGGTCGTCAGTTCTGGTGGAGGCCTGCGAAAATATACCAAGAAGAAAAAGAAGAAGAAGGAAGAGAAAAAGATTTTAAACTGCAGCAGGACTTTTCAACCTCTTTCTGTTTAGCAGTGCTTTTGGTACTACGACAGTTTTAGAGTCCCACCTCCTGAATAACCAAGTCGAGCTTTTTTCAAGAGACATGACAGTGCCTCCGTCAAACCCATCCTTTGTATCACATTCAAGGTGATTTTTACGAAGAACCAAAGCAGAACTCAAATTCTAAATTTCCTCACGCCGCATGATCTACTGTATCTACATTCAGATTTCCTCAGACTGGGCACCACATTTGACGGAGGCCTGCGAAAATATACCAAGAAGAAGAAGAAGAAAAGAAAGAGAACTGGATTTTGAACCTGGTGAACCTCAATAACTCGAACCTCCCAAGTCGAATACCCCCCTAAGTAGAATTTTTTTAGGTCCTGTTCGAATCCCCTTAGAATTAATGCATTTAAAACCTCCCCAAGTCGACGGCTTTTCCCCTCAAACCCCCTTAAGTCGAATTTTCTGGGGCCTGTTGGCTTTTATTTTCTTGAAACAAGAAAGAAAAATAAGCAAAAAACAGAAATTGATTTGTTTTAAAAGGAGGTGAGCGACTTAATTGGGCAAATGAACCCTGCCTCCAAGTTTTAGGATGCTTGCAACTCATTCAAGGAGTAATTTCAGCCCCAGAATATCATAATTTACAATTTTGAGCAATTTTTCCATGTTTCCCGGGACAAAAGGGCTTTGTATTGTAGCTCAATTCAAAACCTCCCTAAGTCAAATTTTTTTTCTGGTCCCTTGAAGTTCGACTTAGAGAGGTTCGACTGTATAAAAAAATGAAAGGAAGGATTTTCAACTTATATTTGGATAAGAACACGACAGTGTTGCCATACCACCAACTAAATACCAAGTCAAGACTTGGCAGCCTTTTTCAAGACGTACCAGTGTTTCCGATCAAACTACTGGTACTTAGTATCACACAAATCTTAAAAAGAAAAAAATCAGATCTTAGGTCCCAAGTTTCCACTAGACACACAATCTACATTCAGATCCACACCAAGTGGTCACCAGATTCAGCAGAGGTCGGCAAAAATACAGTATACCAAGAAGTATACCCGAAGTTAATCTTCTATTCTCTCTACAAGAAATGTACTCCGATTTTGTACCAGTCCATTGACCTAAAATTTTTGTCCAACTCGACTTATTTGGACGAGTTATAAAAAAAATGAATGTGAATTTTGCGCTAAAACACGGGTGAGACAAATTTTCGACGCAATGGAAGATGGCGTTTTTAAGATGTTTTGTACATAGACACTTGAGACATTTGCGAATATTTTTTGCAGTCTCAAGGACAGTTACTGCATCGACTGTCGAAATGAGAAAGGTGAAGGGGAAATTGTAGATATCGATTTGTATTTTTTGACATTTGCGATAAATGAAGGATGCTGGAATATAATATGCCCCAAAACGGCCAAAAATTGTTCTTTTTAATTTTCAAGACTTGTATGTTATAAGACGCAACCAAACGTGTTATTTTCGTAAGATTACCCCACATTTCCAACTTGTCGAAACATTTTTCTTCTGTGCAGTATATATTTTATTTCGGTGAAGAATGTTGCTTTAAGTTGGCGGTAATGGACAGGGATTTCTGCACCTGAAATTTTACCAAAACCTATGGTGTCTGAAGTTATATGAATGAATGAATGAATGAATGAACATAAAGCTTTATTTTCCGCTTTTCAGCTTTCACAAAGTTCCATCAACATTCCCACATCCAAACCCCCTCCCCACCCAACCC